TATAGCTCTTTAGATCTTTTTCACTATTTAATAAATAAAGAAATAAGCTTTATTAAAATTAAAACTGAAAACTGTCTTAATTAATATAATTTATTTACAACAATTAATAAATTTATCTTATTACTTTTCACGTAAGAAAGTATTCTTACAGCCTATCTACAAGATAGAAGAAAATGCACTGTGTGATAATTCTAAAGTATACTTATTACAATGATATTGAATAACTATAAAATTACTATTATTAGATGTTGGTTGAACATTTACATCGCAATAACATCTACCAGGAGCCTGATCATGACAATGCTATAATATAATTATGTTATGACATCTGTATATACAGCTCAATGAACTAATTATTAATAGCTTAAATTTTATCCAATGACATTATTCAATAATCTTAACTAAATTATTATCTAATTAACTTATGATATGAATCTACTAATAGAATATAATTATATATTCATATTATAATAATAGAAATATTAAAAAATATATTTATTAGTAGTAGTAATATTCTATTTTATTAAATAAAATAAAAGAAGACATCAATAATTATAAACTGAATAAATGTTGATTGAACTTCTATATTATGAGAAAATCTGTCAGAATCTGACTTGTGACAATAACAAAACTTATTACAATAATTATTTGAGTGACCTGACAAATATAATTTGCATATTAAGTTATAATATGTTATATCTGTTATTAGCACATGTTTCAGTAATTTTTAAGTAATGATATAAATACAATCTATATATCATCTAACAAATAAATTAATAAATATAAATTGTTTATTCTTTAAGTGATAAAACAAATATAATTTGCTTATCATATTTAAGATATTTATAATCTAATTTAAGTTACTTGTTATATTCTGAATATAACAAATGACTGAGTTATCATTTGTAAGATAATTATTATTGTATTACTTTATTTTTTTCTTGTCCATCTAGATTGTTTTACTAGCTGAATTACTTAATATATTTGTTTGACTTTACTTTAACATATGTAGATTTAATGGATTTTCTTATAATTAATAATAATGTTTAGTTTGAAAAAAACTATAATACTTATTTGATTTTAATTTAATCAAATTTTCTTTTAAAATAAATATTATTCTATTTTCAACTTCATAATAAAATATAATATAACTAATCTTTAAAGGAAATTATATAGAAGATTTATTTAATAGCAAAACATTAAGTTTCTCTTTAATTATTTTAATTAAAAAAATCAATTATGTAGAAACATTTAGTCACAAAGAACATTCAAGTGTGCAGAAACACTTGATCATTCCCAATTGTTCTAATTTTAAATACCATTATTACTATTATTTTAATTATTACTGCGTGACTGGGTATGATCGACGTAACTCATCGGCACTGGTCCGAAAAGATCACATGATTATGCACTGTCCGTAAACTTCCCGACCAGAAAATTGAAACAGAATCACGTGATTGTCGAGTTATGACTTCCGGCGCCATATTAATTTGTATTTTTTGTTCTAACGCTAAATTCTTACTATTTTAAAAATATTTAATAAAAAAAGTAAAAACTAATTTTTTACTAGTCATTTTATTTTATTACAGAATAATATTGACACAGTTTCGAAAGCAATTAATTTTCGGTCCTGAAAATTTTATGATCCTACAATTTGATTGGACAATGGAAATTTTTGTTGATGAAACGAATTTTTGAAGTTTCTCAACAGTTTCACATTTGTTGTTGTGCTAATTCAATCATAATGGGACAGCCAACTCGGTATGTATATAACAACGGTCCTATGTATAATGCTATTAGACATGTAAATGAACAACATAAGAGTTGTAAACTTTACTAAATCGGATGGATGAATCAATTAATTAACATGGATTGTTAATGGATGGATATTGAATATTTATTTATACCTTGTCTTTTGGAATAAAATCATATAATAGTAAAAACGAAGAGGGTTCAATTAAAGCTAGAAAATAATGATTTTTTAAAGCAATTTTTTTTATGACGTAAAAGTTCAATGAAAAATAATAATAATTCGTTGTCTATTTACTGTAGTCTCTACTCCAAAGGCCGTGTGCTCGGATACAAACGTGCAAAATCCAATCAATCACCAAATACAACTTTAATTAGAATCGAGGGTGTTTCGACAAAAGAGGAATCACAATTCTACCTCGGAAAACATATCGCTTATGTGTATCGAGCAAAGCGAGAGGTACTACTAAATTAACGGATTTACTTTTATTAATGCCATTGTTTTTATTATATTTTTGATTATATTAATTATTTCTCTAGAAAAATGGGAGTAAGATTCGAGTTATTTGGGGTCGAGTGACACGGTATATTTTCATTTTTTTGATCCGAGTTATTTTGTTTAATTCTATCCGATTGATTATGGAGATATTGAATTTCAATTCATGATTCATTTGTTTAATTTAGACCTCATGGAAATGCCGGCGTCGTGAAAGCCAAATTCCGAAAAAATCTACCGCCAAAGAGTTTTGGAGCTAGTGTGCGAATTGTAAATAAATTTGTACTTTTTTTAATATTATCATTTGATTATTTTTTCTTTTGATTGACTTCCGACTTTTTATTATAGATGCTGTATCCGTCACGAATTTAATACACCAAAATGAATGAATGATAAATTAAACTGAAAATTTGGGTAGAGAATCATTGCGATGTTGTAGAAAACTAGTTTTTGATAGATGTTTTGTTGGATGATAAGAATTATCGTTATTCGTAGCTTCTTTAAAGATGTCAAAATATTACATTCCATTTTAATAATAAATCAGAGCATTAATAACCAAATTTGTCTTTCACGTCACTAAAATCTATTACATCTGTGACATCATTCAACACATATAAATGTACTTTTATAGGAATTTGAATCTATTTTCTCTTTAACTTCTTGATATCAACACGACTATTATTATTATTATTGTTATTATTATTATTATTATTATTATTATTATTATTATTACTAATGCTACTATTATTCTTTCGTTTCTTAATTGAAGACGATGTCGTCGTCGTATTTTTACTCTTAGTCTTACTATTCTCTTTTTTCGGTCTCTCTTTTGCGCTTTTACTTTTTCTCGTAACAGACACTTCACTTTTTTTCTTGACAAGTGGTAGTTCGAGATCTTCGCTTTCTTCTATACTAAACAAGGTCATATTGGAAAGTAGTTCGTCCTAGAAATTGAACAAAATTAACGTTTGATATTTATTTAGCCTTTCTAATTCACGTAATAAAAAAATAAAACAAACCTCCTTTACATTGTTACTTTTTAAGAGTGATATTTCTTCTTGCACGCGTCGAAGCTCTTCTTGTAGACGACGAAGTTCTTCTTTCTTTGCATTCAAAACTGTTTTATTAATAGTATTTAATAGTGTATTATTAAATATTTTCTTCCAAGTAAAGATGAAAATCTCACGTAAAAATGGCTGAAGGAAAAGAATCAAATAAAAAGGGAAGAAATTAGAGATAAGAAAAGAACGCGACAATATTAATATCGAATAAAATTACAGATTATAAATAATAATGATAAATTACATCTTGAGGTTTCGGCAATTCAATCTTGCTCCAAACTTCTTCCGGCTCTTCATATCTAGAGGTAAGGGTTGTTAATTATAATTTCTACAAGATTGTATTTTTGACAACATAATGGAGAAAAAACACAAGATTGAGCTAATGAATACCTACAGCTCTTTATTTTTTGCAATTCGCGCTTTTATTTCTTCGCGTAATGGTCTCCCTTCACATAAGAAATTAATATATTTATATAAGTTGAGTTGTTATTTCGAGAAAATAATCAATGAATGAATAAGTATATACGAACCACCAGTATTTACAATACAATTGTTTTTACGCTTAATGTGAGGTCCTTGAATCTTTGCATTCTTTTCGCCAATTACAAGAGGATCAATATGTAATCCGCCAAATTCTATAAAAAATATATCGATATTTGTTTTTGAATCAGCATTAACATTTGGAGTACCCGAATGGCGCTGCTATTAATCAACAAAAAATATATATGGTTTTTAACTACCTGCCGTACTTTGCTGTCCAAGCATTCGTTGCAACTGTAAATTCATTTGTGCATTCGTCTTACCCGGCAAACATTCTGACTCAATGATTTTCGCCCAATTGCCAATTCCAAATTTCATTAGCGCTTTACGAAATATTTCATTTTCTTCTTCGGACCAACCTGCCAGAGTAAATATATAATGATAGAAAGTTTCAGTTTAAAAAATAAAAACAACATAAAGTATAACAATATATTCTATTTTATAAAGAGCAATTACGACATTTAGTGTGTGTTACCTGGAGAAAGAGTGCAATTCCACAGACTTGCAGAATCGTTTGAGCGTAAAACGTTTCTTGGGCCAGTTGGCATACTTTGTGGTCTATAAGCATCTTCATTAATAGGTGGCATTGTAGGATTTCTTTCGTGTGATAGAAGGAAAAGATAGAAGACAGAATAGTGAATTTTTCGTGTTTAGACGCGTTGCTGGAAATCGAAATTCAGCAAAACAGCCAATCAAAATTCATTCCGCGAAATACTACTGAGGATTGTAGACTCCAATTTATATCATACACGTCTTTATATTATATCATCCTTTTAGTCTCATAGTCATAGTCATGGGATTTCGTACCTTTCCTCTCTTGTGTCCCTTGGACGAGGATGGACTTTGTTATCGAGGATTTCTTACTTTTCAAGTGAGCTTATTGACCTTTAACATAATAAAAAATCATACTCAAAAATCTATTGTCATCATATAGGACCAAGAATTTCTTATCGGTATAGACCTAACTCAAAACAGCCACAGCAACAATAATAGCCTAAAGAATACCCAACTTTACTTTTGCGAAGAACTAAAGAGGTTGACAGCCACTCACAAAAACACAATTAAGCAGGTAAATTCTTTTCATTCATTACTCACCTTTCGTAGTTTGTTTTTGTAATTTACATAACTAATGATCAACGAGATACAAAACAATACAACAAATAAATAGTTGTTAGAACAACATTCCGATTTGGAATCTTTTTTAATAGATCTTAAAGAATTACTGGTTGTATATCATCTGCAGCTTTCTGCATTTTATCATATCTTTTATTAATCTATCGCAAAAAATGTCTACTGATTCATTCAACTGCTTCTTTTATATAGGAACGCCTTGTAACTAAGAAACAGTCGAAACCTTTGCCGTCACCTGAATACTGTTCATTTCTTATTGCAGAATTGGATATTGTTGGATGGGATAAACTCGAATCGATTGATCATTCACTTAAAGAAGTCACATTGAAATTAAGGTAATCCACACCATAAATTTTTGCTCATGCTTATTTTTAAAAATCGAAAAATAACAATACCAATATGTATCCATAAAAGTGATTCTTCCGGACGCAAGCATTCGATTCTTGTTTCTTTCCCACGAAATTATCCAAAAGCAGCTGCAGTTGTACGTGCCGATCTTCCAACACCCTATTCTATTCCGCAAAACCATAAAACGCGCCTCAAGGACATCGTGTTATTTTTCTTGATGGTATCTTGTTCAAAGTCCTTCCATTTTACTTAATGTAAAACTCCGGTGTGACAACAACTAAATTCATGCTCAAAAGGAATTTGAAAAATACAAAGACTTTTGGCATTTGGTAGAAGATGTTGATAAACATACGTGGGTACTGGATCCGGTGAAACCGAAACGAAGTGATCTGACACGAAGGATTTTTCTGGGGAACCATTGCTCACTGCTGATAAAATGGAAAATTGAAGATCCTCGGTCGGTATGTAAATGGCAGTTGTTTGGGGCTGAAAAGTTTGCCGCGCCTTTACGGAAAAATCTCAATAAAATATCAAGAATCTGGTAATTTTCTATTTATTCTTGGCAATTACGTTGTTCCTGATAATTTTCCGAATTTTTCAAATTATAATTGATTATCCTCAAGGAATAGAAATATCACAACACGAGAAAACTTTGAAAATACTCTAGGATTCAAATTCCCATCACCACAAAACACGTCACAATCCGATTTTGAAATCGATTGTGCAATTTGTTATATTTATGAAATTGAGGATGGTTCGATACCAGACCAATCGTGTAACAATCTAAAATGTGGCCAGTCCTTTCATAAGTCATGTATACTGGAGGTAAGTTAACTTTTTTCGTGTATCCGATGGGTATGACGAATCTTAAAATCTCTGACTATAAATCCCATGCTGAACCAGTGGAAGAAACAACTACAAGAAATTAATTCGTTATACACGAAATGTCCTTATTGTAATGAGGTAAGTCAAAATTTAGAAATGCATTCAGAGAAAGCCATCGAATTTTGATTTGCTTGCTAATTATTATAGGGTTTGATATTTCATGGTTCGGGAAATAAAATCTAAGGTAATTCATACTATGTCATGCGTTTCTTCAATCCTGTCTTTTAAAATGTCATTGCTACATGTATAGAGATGGAATTGCTTGCATTGATAATTTATCTGTTTTAGGGAACTAATTGAATTAAAAATAATAAAACAAACTAATTATTAATTCAAAAGTAACTTTAGTTCATGATAAATTGATTACTTAATTCCAAATGCAACTTTTTTTTGCATTAGATTATAAACTGAAATATATTGACACAACTTCTACACCAGAGCTAAGCTGGTTACGGTAATGATGATCCGAAATTTCTAAATACATATTTCTGTCAAGTCGATCATCTCGATATTTTTGATGGCTTTCGCGATAAATCTTTTATCTAGGTCGTTGTCTCGACAACTTCAACTTCGGAAAGCTCTAGTAAACTGTCCAAAGATATTCGTCTCACAACAACAGCAACCTCCTTGGAAAATAAATGCTTTTAGGACGTGGACAAGAACAAATAAGGGTCTGAAACCCCAAACTTGTAAATACCGAGCTTATTCTACAAAAAAAGCCTCGCAAAATATTTCTCAAGAAAATTCTGCAACAAAGACAGAAAACAATAAAGATATATTTAGTGAATCTGAACAACCTAAAGTAGATGAGGTAGATAGCTCAGCTGAGACAACGTCACAAATAATTTCTCGAGAAAATCCGACAGGAAAAATAGAAAACACTAGAGATAAAATTAGTGAACCTGAACAACTTAAACTAAATGACAACTCAGCTGATACAGCTACCCAAAATTCAGAGTCTTTAGTTGATAAAAATCAGTTAACAACAAAAAATGTAACCATTGTTGAGTCAACAATTCCTTTGAGAAATTCCGAGCAGGTGTCTTCTGAACAAGAGCATTTGAGAGAAGAGCCAAACGATGATGATTCATTTAGAAATAAATTTAAAGAATTTTCAAAGATAAAAATTTCATCTCTGCCTAAATTACCTATTTTATTGATTCTATCGGCGATAGGGTTGACCAGTATCGGAATATACCAATTCTATTCTTCAAATATCCAAAAATATCCAGAGACAATTCGTAATCATTTAAAAAAAGGACTTTATTATCAAAACTATGCAAAAAATCCGAGTTTAGCTGTAGACTACTATCAGAAAGCTCTAACGGAAGCACTACATTCGCCAGAGTTAGAAAACTCATCGCCAGAAGTTACTGGTATTATGATCCAGCTGGGTAGCTTATACGAGGATCTTGGAAGATTTCGTGACGCAATAGATGTACTTTCTATGGCATATGATGTGATTGTTACACCGAACGATTCACCACCACTAAAATTAGATGGTCAAAATCGAACAAAAGCTATAGGAATAGCGCAAAAAATCGGGGATCTATGTCAAACGATAAAGCAGGATGATTTGGCAGAAAAATATTATGTTTGGTCAGTGGGACAATTGTTAATGGCACAATCTGAAGAGCTTCAGGAAAACGAGGAAAATAATAATATCAATAATAGTAATAATAGTAATGCAAGAGGGGGAGGATTTTGGACAGGGTTTTTTGGAAAAAAATTGGACGTGGATACTATGCCATCATGGATAACTGCTGTAGATCTTGGAGCTTCACTTGAGACATTAGGTTCCTTTTATGCTCTACGGCACAAATATACGTAAGATTAATCAACTTTTGTTTGGTAGTTATTTTTCAATTTTTATCTTATTAATTTTTCTCGTATCAAAGATAGTTACGCGCTTCCGTTATATATACGTGCACTACAATTGGTGAATTCCAACGAAATGCCGTGTCATACAGCAGTTCTTATGAATAATATATCAGAAGTGTTTACAGGTATGGGTGATCTGGAAGTAGCACAAGGGTGGGCAGAACGTGGATTAAGGATCACGCAAGAGAAATCACATTTGCAAAAGAAAAATTCAAAAGAGTGTGATGAATCTTGTGGAGTGTTGTTATTTAATTTGGGGATGATAGCAGAAGTAAGTCATTATTATATATAATCTCTGCTCAAATACTTTTTTAATGATTGAAATACTTTATTAATATTCAAAAATAAATATATGTAGTTATCAGGAAATTTAAGTAGAGCAACAGAATACTATGAAAAATCGAGAATACACGCAAAATCTATCAAATTCCACGATTGTGTGAAAGAAGCTGATGCTGCATTACAGAGGATCACTGCTGTAATGAATGATGTCAAGGAAGATTCTGGATAGAAGCAATTATCAGAAAAAAAAACGCGCCTTTTTATTCTTTGGTGAACTTTTTATTATTTAATAGAACCCAAATTTGTAAATATCATGATTCGCAATTATTTATATAAGTTAATGAAAATTACAATAAGATCATGGTACAATAACCACATTTGTCTTAAACCGTGGCCAAATATAATTGGTTACAATATCAAAGATATCAATCTGACGATCCTCCAATATTTATCTTTAATGACATTAGATACCTCGATCTCTATTTTGCCATTACTTAATATATTGAAACCGCAGTATGGAAGCGCATGCTGAAGCACCACCAGACATCCTGAATGTTGTAAAGTACTTGCGTTCCAGTGCCTCGGGCATCAAACTCCGAGGCGGCGTCCATAATGGAAAACGGGTGGAATATTTTAAAGGTATCTGATATTATATTTTTCACTCAATTATTCACAATAAATTGAAAACAACTAGCTTTAATTTTTGTATCGTTGACACGTATTTCTTTGTTATAGGTAAATCTGCTGTGAAGGCACTACTAAAAGACTCGTATACAAAAGCAAAAAATGTCCCAAAAGTCGCAAGTTCTGAGGAAGCCGCAAAACTATTAAAAGACATTCTCCCATACGCACTATTTCTGCGAGTCGAACGCTCAAACAGTGACTCGTCACAACGTAACGCCCCGAAAATTTTAACAATTTGTCCCGCACAAATGTTCGCCGAGGATCAATATTACGTTTGGCTCTACGAAGGATCACAGTTGTGGACGATACTCGGTGGGATCGCATTAATAGCAGTCGTGTTTGCGGGGGTGATGTTTCCACTCTGGCCGGCGATTCTTCGTGATACTGTGTGGTATTTGGCAGTGGCGGTACTTGCTTTGTTTGGTATTCTGGTGATTATATCGGTGATACGGCTGATCCTCTTCATTATCACGATGTTGATTCTGCCGCGTGGGATTTGGATCTTTCCGAATTTGTTTGAGGATGTCGGGTTTGTGGATAGCTTTATACCGTTGTGGGCTTGGGATGTGCCGAAAAAGAAGGAAAAAATAATCGATGATGAAGACGACGATAATAACAATAGTAAGGAAAATAGGATCATTGGAAGTAGTAATAGTCGTAATAATGACACTGAAAATAGAAATCTTCAAACTACAGTTCAAGATGCTGAAGAAGACAACGTTATTGCTTGTGATGAAAAGCCTGAAGATGACTGATTTAAGAGTCCATTGATTAATCATTAATTTACTTTTTATAATTATTGGAATTAATTTGGGAGTATTTAATTATTGTTGATTGGTAGGCAAATAGTATGGACAATATTTCTTTTCTCTATTTTAGTAGTATTAATAATAGTAATGTTGTTTAGCTGTTTTAATTGTTAGGAATAACAATATTATTTATACTAAATTATTTTTGCGTTTTATAAATAATTTAACCAATAAATTGATAGTTATCAAAAAAACAAACAACATTACAAACCAACCTTTTTTAACTTACATCTCGTATGTTTTGCAAAAGCAACATGATCCGGAGTGCTCCATTAACAACCCTAGAAATAACATAATCATGCTATTTCCACTTAGCTGAAGTTATGATGTGGCCCATATCATAATTCTGGTCACACTCAAAGATGACTTATCCCATGATTTTGGCCACACTCTGTGCTGTTAGCGCGGAATTACTTATTTGTGTATGTAACACAACCCAAAAATGGATATTCAGGATGGTGCAAACCAATAAGAAAGCATAAATTTTTTGATTAGTCTGGCAAAATAAATCTGAAACAAATGCAAATAATGTAAAAAAATATGTCAAAATCTAATTTTAAGTATTAATAAAAATGTTGAAAAGATAATTTTATATATAATCTCACTTTAATCCTAATCCTGACTTGTAATATTCATAAATTTTTCACTAATTATATAATTAGCTAATAAATGTAAACTGAAATTAAAAGAGATAATTAAACAAATATAAAAATAATAAGTTCTATGTCAATTTCTACTGAAATTGTTATAGTTTGAAAGAAAAATAAAATAATAAAATTTAAATTATGAATAATATTTTAATTAATTGTATTTACTAAATAATGTTCAAATTCTAATAAATTAATTTCAATTAACTGATTCTAATTCTTTGTATTAATATAATTATATTTCAGAACTAACAATAACAAAAATAATGAAAACTCTTTTACTTTGTTTTTCTTACAAGAAAGAGATTATAATGTTTTTAGTTGAGGGATTTTAAATAATTCAATTATAACAAAAATATTAAAAGACTAATTTATAATAAAATATTGTTATGATATGAATATATAGTGTTCTCATTAATTCAAAAATTGTTAAAATTAATGAATTAACAAAGTAACATAACAGTGAAAGAACAAAGACTAAATGAATTATAAATAATAGGGTTCACTAAAGATTCTAAAGATCACCTGTGATAGCTTGTATACAAATTAACTAAATATTATCAATAAAGAATAAAAATGAATAGAAAAATAAAGTGAAAAGATAAAAAGAATTAAAAAAATTAACAAATAGTTTCAAAATAAATAATAGGACTTATTGATAATGCTTAACAAAATAAAATATCAATTAGATTTATTAAAAGTACCAATTATAAAATATAACTAAAAATAATCAAACAGAACTTATTGAAACTGTCTAAAAATAATAAAACTAAAATAATTAAAAGTAATAATATCAATGACTTATTTAGAGTAGAAAATCATCCACTACTTGTAATTCCAAAATTTGAAGATAATCCACAAAAATAATAGTGTATTTACAAGTAAAATATTACTAGTAAGAACTTTGTTATTTATTAAATAAAAGGATTAGAGCATGAGAGTTTCTAGCGACAAGAGACTCTTCTTTTATACATTTTCAATCTTTTACACAATTTACAAAACTAATGACTGTTCTAAACTATACCACGATTTACATACAATACTAACAATACAAAAGGAGTATAAACATCGAAAAATAAATGAGAAATTACACAAATTCATTAACAAGAAAATACAAAAGAAAATTAGTTGTAATTCTAGTGGTTAAAGATAAGAAAAAGCAAGAGTTAGAGTAAAAAAGAAGTGTTATATAGAAAGAAAATAATAGTATGAACATGATTATAGATAATTATAATAAAGAAATTAAGAGATATAAAGAATAATTGTAATAAGAATAAAAAATAAAATAAAATAAATATAAGAATGATTGGTTAAAAATAATGAAATAAAAAAATAAAAATAAGTATAATAGGAGTATAAATAAGATAAACTAATAATAAAAATATAAGTTTTATAATAAAAAATACAAAAATAAATGAATTTAGTACAATAGTAAAAGAAAATAAAACAAAAAATATACAAAAATGTAATTATTATTTAGATATTACAATTAGATATAAAAAGATAATGATATATACTAAATATAATTATGTAATGGAATACAATATAAAAATAAAGAGACAAATTAATTTGATCATCATTAAATTACATGATGTAATATTAATATTTGTAATATATCTTAATTTTTGTTGATCAATAATTAAATAATTATGAAATTTTTGATAAAAATGATAACAATAGTCATATTTTATTAATAAATTTATACTAAAAATTGATTGAACAATAATTTAGTTAAGATTATTGAATAATAGTTAGAATAATATCATTGAACAAAATTTGAATTATTAATAATTAGTTTACTAAACTGTATAAATGATCCAAGCGATAATAGTAATTCAAGTAATAATAGCAATTTAAATAATAACAATAATGAAAGTATTGAAGATTAACTATTATTATAATTCAATTTTTAGAATTCTTTTTGGTATTTATTATTAATTATAACTTGTTTTCAACCATAAATATTAATTGTATTTTCTATAAAATTAATTTATAATAAATTATATGATCTTGAAATTCATGCATAATAAATATATTTTTTCTATCATTAAAATAGGTTATCATTATTATTAATAAATTTCTGTTATCTACTTAGTGTAAGAACAGTTTTAAAATAATATAGTACTGATATTCTTTAGTAATCTGATTAAGTATTTAATATAGTATACAAATAATATTATTATAATGTTATTATTATTTAGTTAAATTTTGTATATTGTCACCGTTGTGACATGTTATATATTATTTAGATATTAGTTGACATATTATGTTATTATCAAGAAAAGCTCAACATTTATCTATATAATAGTATTTCTTTCACATGATGATAGTATTTAACAAAGAACAATGATTATTAGAAATCTAATTGGTTTTTATTAAGATATTTTAATTGG